AGTAAAATAATTTCATTATAGTCCTGACCAAAGGAAATGGCCCAGCCAGCTCTGTGTGAAGCCTCCCAAATCTGTAAATCTGTTAATCTGTTATATTGGGTTTCTTGTGTCCAATGTCATTCACCAAGAAAACACATTTACTAAAATGTTTATTTAGTGTACAAACATTAAATGCTATTGACCATTGTATTTCTAAAGATATGGTTTAAAACCGTGATTTTTCTTTAACTTTATGGAGCAGTGAGGTGGCAGAAAATACTACACTCTTTGCTTCTTCTTTTGCTTTTTTTTCTCTGGCCACACCAAGGAGGGAGGGGATGAGCACCGTTTCCCCATCTATGCTATGCTCCCCTCCACCTCCAGAGGCAATGTGATGCAATGGGTATGTGATGTGCTCTCACAGAAGCGGTGTTGTCCAAAAGTAGCTCCCATGTGCAGGAAGTTCAGGGAAACACAAAACAACATTTTCCTGGTTTCCCTCCTCAAATTTAATAGAACATTTAAAAACAAACACATTTTTTCATGACAATAGTGCTATGAATTTATCATAGTAAATTTGTGGCATATAGAAAAGTTTAAGAAAGAAAATAAAAAACCACCCATTATTTTACCACCTAAATATTATAAAACAGTGGTGTTAACATTTGGTGTATGGCCTTCTAGCCTTTTTATTCTGTGGATATACCACAAGTAAGCTGCAGAGACATTGAGGAGAGGAACACATAAAAGAATTGCTTTTCCTCTAAGTATTGCTTCCACTCCACTACCACTGCCCATTTCCCAGAAGAAAATGAGATTTGCAATCAGTGGTAATCTCAGAACTGTCAACATATGTGAACTCAACCATGCTGACAAATACCCAGTTATGAGATCGAGCAGATGTCGAAGGGTTTACCTACCCAGGAAGACAGGATGCGCACAGGTGGTGCTGACGTTCTGGTTTCTGGTCAGCTGCGCTGCCAATCTGCACTGTGGTCCAGTTCTCTTGGGGGATGCACTCATGGGCTCTGGCCTTTCCTGAGCAGTTTCCGTCTGTGGGCTGTGGTTGGTTCTGTTTTCCTGGAAGATGCTGGCCTTACTCACCCCAGCCTGCTGTGGCTCCTTCCTCTCTTCCTGGCAATCTGCTGGCCCAGCAGTACTTTTGTGGTTTGTTCAGTCTTTCCTTCAAGTTCTTTCACTGCAATTTATGTCACTTTCTGTTCTTTCCTATATAATTCTGGGTAATTTTAGGAACAGCTGAAATTGTCACCGAGCCATCAGAGCAAGGCTGCGGCTCTGAGCTGGCCCTCTGGAGCCACACACATTGGGCAATGCCGAACTGCAACACCAGAGTGCCATAGGCGGGAGGCAAAGGGCTTCCTTAGAACGCCTCTCACCCCACACCCCAAATCCTGAGTCAAATAGCAACTGTCAAAGTTCATCTCCTTTCTTGGAGTATGTGCTTTCCTACAGATGAAAAAACACACAACGGATATTCTCTTTGTATTGGGATAATGATCCTGAGTTTCTAGATTAAGGAATTGGAGTGTACCACAACCATTTCCAAGGACTTTTCCAGTCCTAGGGTTATAGGACGTTTACACAAAAATACACTGATGTGTACACTAACTTGGAACAGATAGAACCTTCTACCCACAGGCAGAATGGGAAGCCATTAGTGACAACCCATTAGACAGCTTTCTCTCTCCCCTGCTCTTGCTAATATGCCTGTCCAAAATGTTCTTCCCCCTGCCGGTCAGAAAGGCTGGTAGTTTATCTTTGGTGTATTGGGGATTGTGTTACTTAAGATTAGGTTGGCTGTTGGTCATAGTTAGACACAAAATAACAGAAGATTAAAGGATATGAAAAGTCTTACTCTCCCTCTGTAGGAAGTACAGAGCTGGTGTGACGACTTTGCTCCATGGTGTCCTCAGGGGCCCATGCTCCTTCTCTCCTGGAGTTCCAACTAATGTAACTTCCATACCAAAGATCAACCCCTGGTCTGAGATGACGCTTCAGCTGTCACATTCATGTGCTAAGCAGCAGGATGGAGATTAGGGGTGAGGAAGCTGCCATTTCAGAAAAATTGCCAGAAGCTGCCATGTGGCATTTTCACATTCATTCCATTGGTCAGAACTTAGTCACATAGCTACACCTAGCTGCAAGAGAGGCTTGGAAACGTCATCTTTATTTTATTTTTATTTTTTTAATATACTTTATTGATTTTTTAAAATTGATTATGGTCTCACATAATTGTCCTTATTCCCCCATTCCCATCCCAAACCCCTCCCTAGAACCTCTATGCCCCCTCCCTTAACCCCCGTTGTCCATGGCCACTGGCTAGGCCCATATGTATACACACAAGTCCTTTGGTTGATCTCTTTCCCTTACCCCCATCCTCCCTTACTTTCCCTCTGAGGTTTGAGAGTCTGATCGCTGGTTCTCTTTCTCTGGGTCTGTTTATGTTGTTCATTATTTCCTCTAGATATGTGAGATCATGTGATCCAAGAAATACCCTTGTAAGAACCTAAACTGCAACAAGCTATAATGGTTATGCTGAGAGGCAAATTGGAAATGTCATCTTTATCTGGGTGGCCATGTGCCAAGATAGATATTACATTACTGTGGGAAAAGAGGACAATGGATCTCGGGGAACAACCAGTAGTTTCTACCATTGCTGGAATTTTAAGTTCCCAAAATTAGAATATAAGTAACCCAAAGGGCAGGGGACCAGGGATATGTGCTTCCAACCTCAGCCATTGCCACTCGGTGTTCTCAAGGGGATGGGTGTCACTATGAAAGATCACAGCTTCTGGGAATGGGGTTGTGTCCAGAGACAGGCAGAGAGGGCCACTAAGAAAGGGGCTTCTCAGAGAGCCAGGGGCTGAACCATACACCAATATCACCTTCTTCCCAGTTTTCCTAGAGGCCCTGGGTGTATGACCTCATCCGCCTCGACATTAGGAAAGATGAATGTGGAAATAAGTGTACGAGGACTCTTTCCCCCTCCCCGAGTGGGAGTCTGTACTTGTTCTTCAATACATTTCCACCTTTCCTATAAAAAAGAAGTAAGTGTACACAATGAATTCTGTGATAGATCCTACAGGGTTGACTGGCTATTGTAACCCAAGGCAGGAGAGAACCAGCATGTACTGAGCACCTATAAGGTGCCAAGCACTAAGCTTTTATCCATCCTGTCATTTAATTCTCATAGCAACTTATTTTCCATTGTCATGCCATCTTACAAATGTGAAAATAGGATGAAGACTTTAATGTTTAAATCATACACTAGCTAAAAAGTAGAAAGAAAAGTTAATTCACTGATGTCTCTTAGCCTAGAGCAAGACTAGATTAGAGGTTCAAGGTTCCAAACATCTAGTAGAGAAGTGTATCAACTCATCATAATCATGAAGATTTACATGGAAAAGGGGGGTAGGGATGGCTGATATTTATTTATTTTTTATTTTATTTTATTTATTATCTGTGTACATATCTTACCATTGCCGCCCCCCATCCTCCCATTCATACCTCCCTCCCCAGAGCATTGTGTCCATTGGTTGTACTTATATGCATGTATACAAGTCCTTAGATTGATCTCTTATCTCCCCCAGATCTCCCTACTCTCCCTGCTGTAATTTGACAGTCTGCTTGTTGCTTTACTGTCTCTGTATCTATCTTTTGGTTCATCAGTTTATAATGTTCTTTATTATCCATAAATGAGTGAGGTCATGTGGTGTTTCTCTTTCATTGACTGGCTTATTTCACTCAGCATGATGTTCTCCAATTCCATCCAGGTTGCTGCAAATGATGAGAATTTCTTCTTTTTTATGGCAGCATAGTATTCCATTGTGTAGATGTACCAAAGTTTTTTGATCCAATCATATGCTGATGGGCACCTAGGCTGTTTCCAGGTTCTAGCTATTGTAGATTGTGCTGCTATGAATAGAGAGGTGCATATATCCTTTCTGATTGGTGTTTCTACTTTTTTGGAATATAATCCTAGGAGTGGGATTACTGGGTCAAATGGGAGTTCCATTTTCAGTTTTTTGAGGAAACTCCACATTGTTCTCCTCAGTGGTTGCACCAGTCTGCATTCCCACCAGCAGTGCACGAGGGTTCCTTTTTCTCCGCAACCTCGCCAACACTTGTTGTTTGTTGATTTGTTGATGTTGGCCACTCTGACAGGTGTGAGATGGTACCGCATTGTTGTTTTGATTTGCATCTCTTGGATAATTAGTGGCTTTGAGCATGTTTTTATGTGCCTTTTGGCCTTTCTTCCATCTTCTTTTGAAAATATTCTATTTAGGTCCATTGCCCATTTTTTAATTGGATCATTCATCTTCCTTTTATTTAGTTGTATAAGCTGTCTGTAGATGTTGGAGATTAAACCTTTATCAGTGGTAACATTTGCAAATATGTTCTCCCATACAGTGGGCTTTCTTGTTGTTTTGTTGATGGTTTCTTTTGCTGTAAAAAAGCTTTTTATTTGGATGTAGTCCCATTTGTTTATTTTCTCTTTAGCTTCCATTGCCCTAGGGGCAGTATCAGTGAAGAAGTTCTTTTGGCATATGTCTGAAATTTTGCTGCCTGTGGATGCCTCTAGTATTTTTATGGTTTCCCGTCTTAAGTTTAAGTTCTGTATCCATTTTGAGTTTATTTTTTGTGTATGGTGTAAGTTGGTGATCTAGTTTCATTCTTTTGCATGTATCTGTCCAATTTTCCCAACATCATTTATTGAAGAGACTGTCTTGACTCCATTGTATATTCGTGTGGATGGCTGATATTTAAGAGCTGTGAATAGTTTTGTAAAACAAAGACTATGTAATACTAAAATAATGACCCCTAATGTATTTTAGAAATAGATTTTCATGTCAGGTTGAAATGGATCAAAATGCTTTTCTACTTTTCATCTAAATGTGTCTTGGGGGTCATCAGACTTAATTTTGTGATGACTTAACTCTGAATCTGTTAATAACATTGCAAGTGTTTTTGTAATCACACTAATGCTACTTTTTTGACAGAATGAAAACATGAAGAAAGATGACCTTTTGATGGAACAAAATGAAAATTGCCCAAGCCACCTTCTCCGTCAGTGTGCTGGGGAGCCTGTCAAGCAGGAAATGGAGGCCGGGTAATGCTAAACCATTTCACTATTGACTCACGGAGATGAGTTAAACACTGTGGGGAACACTGAGTGACTGACTGACACGGAGGTTATATGTTAACTCTAAAATATTTGAAGCTGAAATAAAAACAAGACTGTGAAAGCAGGTAAACAGCTAAATTAGTGTTTCACTTTAGGACTGGGTTTTTAACAAGAGGGATTGTTAAGAGAAATGTCTTTTTATATTTATACATATAATTACTTTATTTTCAGTGCAATTTTTAAAGAGTAGCTTTTATGAAAATCCCTTAAGTTAAATAAAGTGACTTCAATTTGGTATACATGAGTTTTCCAGACCACTTTGAGATGAGAGACATTTATTCTATATTCCTTGCCTGCTACAGGTACAGCCACGCCAGGGCCCTGCACCTGCTGGGCCTGGATGATGGGACGGGGCCTAGTGATGAGGATCCTGTCTTAAGGAGAGGGGCCTACCTGTCCTTTCTGTACCTGCGCCACCTGCGAATCAGGGAGCTGCAGGTCCGTGGACGCAGGTTTTAGGCGTCCAAAATGCTTGGTTGTCTGGAAATGGGGCTTTCCTTCTGTTCCAGTAGCAACACATTTTTGCACTTTGCTCTGATTTGTTCATGAAATCGAGCCTTTCTGGGGGTGGTATGTTCCTTTTCCAGCAGTAGGATGGACCTGCCAATCTCTGGGGCCCATTTGAAGTTTTGCTCTAGGCGTGGCCGGCAAAGGCCCAAGTCCTGAGGCTGTCCTTTGTTTCAGCGCACCTGCTTAGGGATCCTGAACTACTTCAGATCTGTTGAGCGAACTCTGACCATCAACACTTCAGGCCTCACCTGGGTTGCAGGGAGCCTGGTCCCCACCATAGAAGAGAGTTCCTGGGTAAACATGGCAAAAGGAGGCTCGGGCACCTTGCAAGGCCTGGGAGCTCGCCACTATGTCTACGGGACACCTGCCGAGCACAAGGTAAAGTGTTCTGCCACAATGTTTTCTTCCTCAGTTATCCTGTCTCCCAAACCACCTTCTTCCGGGCACCTGTAGTCAGTTAACTTGATAGAGTAACAGGTGGGGGTGTCTTACAGAAAGGGCTTTTTAAAAATGTATGAAAAGGGAAATGGCTTTTTAACTGCAATAGAATGCTGGGCCCACTTGAGAGCAGGACACAGGCAGAGAGCACTCTTAAAGCGGCCCTCGTGGCACCATGGGAAGGAAGGCCTTTCAGCTGCTGGTTCGTGGACTCTATGGTAAACAGAGCACGAAGGGCCCTTTCTGTTACCCTTGCCCCGGGCCACGTGTCCTTACACAAAAGCTCTTATAAGGCCCTCCCTGGCATTGCTAGGGGTACCATTTTGCCTATGGTCTGTTTTCCAAGCCCTACATGAAAAAAAAAAAAATAGATTAAAAAACTAAGGTAGAAAATTTTTTTATTTAAAGAGCTGAACAATAAAGAATCTCTTATCCTTCCAAAAACCTCTTTTCCTCTTGGTGCTTTTATGCGCTCTTGAGTGTATTTTATGGTGTCTACAAAGTTCGTATTCAATCCCTTCCTTTGGGAGCAAAGTTGAAGATGCCTGTTTTCTTGGACTATTGTAGATATTCTTGCATTACTCTCATCTCAATCTCTAAAAAGTGTATTTTTGAAGGTAGGATTAAATATGAATTTTATCTTCTTAAAGACACTAGGTTGACAAATGTGGAAAATTAAATCTAGCTACCAAACCAAGTCATGTTCTGAGCTTGTATGAGCCCTGACTTATACTTGACATGTCTGTAAGGGTGTGAAATCTTACAATCCCCTGTCATTAATATACAGAGTCTATGATAGAACTTCCAAAATAAATATAACACAAGCCACACATATAATTTAAATTTTGCTAGTAGAACCATTAAAAAGTATAGACATTAAATTAATTTTATTTTTTAACATGAAATTAATTTTAATAATATTATCTATTTAACCCACTGTATCAAAAATAGTACCGTAACATATAATCAATATAAAGAAGTTATTGGGCCGAAACCGGTTTGGCTCAGTGGTAGAGCGTCAGTCTGCGGACTGAAAGGTCCCGGATTCGATTCCAGTCAAGGGCATGTACATTGGTTGCGGGCACATCCCCAGTAGAGGGTGTGCAAGAGGCAGCTGGTCGATGTTTCTCTCCCATCGACGTTTCTAGCTCTCTATTTCTCTCCTTTCCTCTCTGTAAAAAATCAATAAAATATATTTAAAAAAAAAGAAGTTATTGGTAAGATATACATTTTTTGTACTAAGTCTTCAAAATCTGGTGTGTACCTTATATGTACAGCACACTCAACTCAGACAAGCCACATTTAAAGTGCTCAATAGCCACATGTGGATAGAGATAGATATTACAATACATTACTATCTATACAATATCTGTATTACATTACTATCAGTACAATACCTCTTGTATTGAACAGTTCAGCTCTAGATATTGAAAAACATTTTCTTAGAAAAAAAAAAAGAAAAGTACTTTTTAAATTTTTTTCATCCAGTCACCTAGAGTCCAACTTTAACTCAGTATCTAGGAGAATCCTCTTTTTGGTCTCCTTTGTTAACAAATACTCCCCTCCCAGCCCCCTCACAATACACAGGCTTCACTTCATAGAAATGAAGGAGAAAAGGAGAGACAAATCCTATCCTGCCCTGTTGATGTAGGAGGAGCTTCTCAAGGGTAATGCAATATTTCTTTCCTGTGCTGTCATAAATGGTAGAAACAACTGCATCCATAGAAGCTGCCAGCAGCTACTGTTTTAGCATGAGAATCTCAAGAAAGTAACCTTTACAGAGTCTTTAATAGGGTCATATGGTTTGGTTGAACTCCATATGTGTGGCATTGTCAGTTTTTAAACTAGAATGTCCAGATATAACTATGTGCTTCTTCCCCATGTAGGGGATGGGAGGCACAGATGCTAATTTGTTGGGTTGGTCTCACCAGGCCCAGGGCCGAGGCAACTGGGAGCAAAATCACTGGGCTCACCAGTCCAGGGAGCTGACATTCATTCATCCACTCATTTATTCATTTCTCAAAGGTTCTGACCAATTAAAATGCTAGGCATAGGGGACACAAACAAAACTAGCATAAATCCCTGCCATTATGGGACTACTGAGTGGAAAGAGATAGACATTAAATAAATAACACATACAAAATGTCAGATGGCTTGCCACCAATGCTTCCTACATATCCTGGTCCCTTACAGTTGGGTGAGACCTAGTGGTGAGCTTTGGCCAGGGGGCTGTGAGCAGTAATGACATGTGTCATTTCCAGTCCAGAGCATTTAGGAACTAGTCTATGACCTTCCCGCTGTATTCCCCTGCTGCAGCCAATGGAAGGCATGTGTCAGACTACAAAATAGAAACATCCTGGATCCCGGGGTCACTGCTGGAATAGACCTATCTATTATAAAAGAAACTGCAGTAGTAGGATTTGCATGAGTGAGAAATTAAATTTAATTGTAGGCCATTGAGCGTTGGGGTTACTTATCAGAGAATAACCTAGCCTTTCTGGACTAACACAAATGGTGTTAGATGCTACAAAAAAATTTTGATAAGAAAAGGGGGATAGAGAGTGGTGGAGGTTGGTGATGGGATGTTCCAGTTATAAGTAGGGTGATCATGGAAGGTCTTCTTGAGATGGTATTATTTGAGTAAAGACCTGAAGAAATCAGGAAGCAGACCACATGGCTCACTGGGAGAGGAGTGCCAGGTAGTGGAGAGGACAGTGCAAAGGCCCCGAGGCAGAACAGTGCCTGGCAGTGTTGTAGAAATAGCGATGAGTTAAGAGCAGCAGAGTGAATGAGGCAGAAATTGGCAGAAAATAGGGTTAGAGAGATTGGAGTGGTAGGGAACAAGTAATGGACCACTGTGAGGACTTTGACTTTAACTTGGGATGAGAAGTGGAGCCCTTTGTGATTTTTGAGTAGAAGAGGGATATGGTTTCACTTACATTTTTAAAAAATACATTTTTATTGATTTCAGAGAGGAAGGAAGAGGGAGAAAGAGATAGAAACATCAATAATGAGAGATAATCATTGATCGTTGCCTCTTGCACATGCACCAGACTGGGGATCAAATCCACAATCTGAGCATATGCCCTGACCTGGAGTCAAACCATATCTCCTGGTTCCTAGGTCGACACTCAACCACTAAGCCATTCCCATTTATTGTAAGTATTTGACAGTACTTGAGAGTGGAAACAGAGACTAGTGATAAGGTTATTATATTTATCAATCCAGAGACAGTGTCTGAGAAGACAGCATGATGAGAAATAGTCAGATTCTGGATATATTTGAAGGTACTGCCAGTATGATTTCCAAGAAGAAGAGAGTGAAATGGGAGAGAAAAAGAGAAGTCAAAATCGATTCAAATGTTTTGGCCTGAGCATCTGGAAGTTTGGAGTTGCCACCATCTGAGATGTGGTTGGAGCAGGTTTGTTGGAAATACCAGGTGCTGTGGGGAGCCAATGGATGCCTAGGAGGCATAGCTTTTGACACTGACTGGCATAGAAAACGACCAATGAGAACCAAATAAGGGTGCTGTGGGGAGCCAATGGCTATCTAGAAGGTGGAGCTTTTGACACTGGCATAGGAACTGACCGATCAGAACCAAATTAGCCAGCAGAAGAGGGCAGTTGGGGGCAACATCAGGCCTACAGGGGAGGGCCATTGGGAGCGAGATCAAGCCTTCAGGGTAGTGCAGTTGGGGCAACCAGGCCAGCAGGGGAGGACAGTTAGGGGCAATCAGGCTGGCAAGGAAGGTCAGTTAGGGGTGATCAGGTTGGCAGGCAGAGGCAGTTAGGGACAATCAGGCAGGCAAGCAGGTGAGCAGTTAGGAGCCAGTGGTCCCAGATTGTGAGAGGGATGTCCAATTTCCAGTTTAGGCCCGATCCTTGGAATTGGGCCTAAAATGGCAGTTGGACATCCCACAAGGGGTCCCCAGTTGGAGAGGGTGCAGGCTGAGCTGAGGGAACCCCCCTCCATGCATGAATTTCATGCACCAGGCCTCTAGTCCTATATAATAAAAGGCTAATATGCAAATTGTCTCCTCAACCTGGAGTTCAACTGGGAGTTCAACTAGGGGGCAGGGCCAGCTGGCCAACCATCTGAGGCCCTACCCCCGGCCAGCCCCACTCCCAATCGCCCCCCCCCCCCATTGGGGGCAGGGCTAGCCCTCCAACTGCCCACATCTCCTCCCCACACCTGGCCAGATGGGCCCCAATAGGGGCCAGCTGGCTGGACCCCACCCATGCATGAATTCATATACCAGGCCTATAGTGTATAATGAAACTAATTTACCACAGGCTAATTGACAAAAACAAGAGTTAAATTAAGCACCTCATCAATGTTATAACAAAACAATGTCACTTGAAGACATGCTATATATATTTCACATACTAGGTATCTGATTAATGTTTGTTGGACATTAAGAGACTGGTTGTGAGCTCACAAAAAGACAATATACATAAAAATGTCTTGTCAAGTGAAAAATAAAAAACAATTGGTTATGATAATATTATACTCTATAAGTAATAAAAGATGTTTTAAGTATTTGAGATTATAGCCAATGGATTGAGTCATTCACCTAACAATTTTTTATGAAATTCTTAAATTATTATTAGCTGAAATTAATGCAAAGATGATTTAGGAAAAGGTGAGGTAGTCAGCAAAATAGTGTCTGCATTATCAGAACCTGAAATTCATATTAACCAACAGAGTGAAAAGAATGAAGAATGAATGCTGGGCCGCTGCTTTTGCTATAGTTACTGTACTCAAATAGTTATCTTGACTCGAATAGTTATTTTGCAGACTTAAAACCTTATGAATCATTCCAAAGACCAGTTTACTTCTTGCCCAAACAGGTAATTATTGTCTTCCCCTTCCTGCCACTCCTCTAAGCATAATATTGAAGAATCAAATTTTCTTGACCACTGAAACTTTATAAGAAGGGT